AGTACTAACTTGACCGTTAGAGGCGGAACTCCCACCACAAGGAGTCTCCGTTGTTTTGCAGGTACAGGCGCAAGGATACCAGCCCCGGAATTATAACACTCCCGCAGGACATCAAAAAACCCCGAAACAGTTATTATAATTAAAGTATAATAAAAAACTACAACTTAATTAAATCTTTTCGTAAATTTAGTAATAATAATCAATTTATGTAATTATTACAAATTAAATATCACCAAATTGGGGGACCGCGCGTTACTGTTATTTGAAAAGTGATTATATCATCTAAAAATTACCCCCCCCCTGCCACGTGGCCCAATGGGATCCTGACACGTGTCACCCTCATACGGGCCCAAGGGGATCCAATTAGAGGATGTCACGTGGCATTGAACCCCTAATTGGGGAGCAGATTCTCATCTGCTATAAATAGAGGAATCCTCCTCATTTATTGGCATTTATAAATACATACACAAATCTCGGGAAATATTAATTGCGGAATCTCCCTGAATTAGAGAGAAACACCAATTTTACTTTCTGCACGCTTACTCATCCGGAGTCATACTAACTTGATCTTTGGAGGCGGAACTCCAACCAACCGGAGTTTCGTGGTTTTGCAGGTACATAAGGAAGACGCTCATACCCAGTATTGTAACTCTCCCGAGGGACTAAAAACACCCGAAACAATATTATTTTTTAAAAAGATAATTTTTAAAGTCAATGATATTTAAGGAAAGTCAAAATACTAGTTTGACTAGGAAAGGAATCATTAAGGGTAGTAAAGGAATTTTAAGTAGGAGGGTTATTGAGAGGAGGTATAAGTACCCACCATATGCCTAAGGTGCAGTGCACCCAAAGGTAAACTCTTTCTCCTCTTATTTTCTTTTCCCCTTAATTTTTCCCCTTCCCTTATTTTTATTTTTGTTTCAATCACCACCCACACACACCACCACACACCGGTCGCCCATCACCACACGCCACCACAGGCCGGCGGCCACCACCACCAGCGCACGCCTGCAGCAGCGGGCGCGCGGCAGCCGCCCAGCCATGGTGGTTCATGCGCACAATTCAAGAAATAAAAAATTATTTTTCCTTTTGATTTTAATTCAATCTACCCTAAATCTGATTATTGTTTTTGGGTTTTGAGATGATTTTATGATGTTTAATGATAAGTATTTTGTATATAAATTTTCAGATTTGATTTTGAATTAAAAAGCCCCAAATTGAAAACCCTAGGTTTCTAAATTGATGTATATTGATGGGAATTGTTTGTGGGTGATTTAAATTATTGAAATAAGTGTTTTTAAACAAAATTACAACAATTTTAAATGGTTTAATAAAGCTGGAATTTTTATATAAAGGCTATATTTAGGGTTTTTGAAAGGATTTAAAATTACCCATTAATTGGGAATAAAAGTAAGGGTTTAAAATAAAATTTTAACTTATTTTAGAGGGTTTATGAGTGATTTAAAGAGGGTATATATTGCTGAAAATTTGTGTGGAAGAGGTATTAATAATTCTTTGTAATTTTGGTTTGTAGGAGACTTTCAAGTGAGTGATTTTATTTAGTCGTGGCGATTTTAAGATCATATTCAAGGTACGTTCACGTACTTGGTAATTAATTGAATATGTAGAAGCATGCTAAGGTTTGTTTAATTAATTCCAAATAGTATCATGATAGGTGATAATTGGAATTGGTTGATTGGGTTGATGTTGGTGATTGATTTGTGATGTATGAACTATTTATGATGAATTAGGGTTTGGAATTAGTTGTATTGGCATGTTGTCTATGAACCACAGTTTTATTATTTGCATGTTAGAGAGCATGTTTAATTAAACTAAATGTTTAATTTGGTTTGGAGTATGAAAAGGGAATTTTATTATAGTTCATATAATTTTTTATTGATGTTATAAGTATGAGGAAGAAGCTATTTAAATGTCTATGTACATGAAGATTAAATTATATTTTGGTATCTTAGTGCACTTAAGGTGTTTCTAACACCGAGGGATAGGATTTGAGGTGTTTTATGCGCTTAAGGTGTTATTTAACACCGAGGTAGATTAAAAAGGATTCAACATTAAAGTTATGTGGTCACTAATTATTCAAGAATTAAATTGGTGTGTTTGATTGCTTGAATGAGTTACAATAATTAATTGTATTATGGTTTAAGAGTCATCACCAAGTATAATAATATGTAAACAACGTAAACTGAAAGAAATTACACACCAAAACTCTTGGAACGTATATACCTTGAGTATTAATATATGGGGGGAGTTATGCGAATTTATATTTGACCATAACTTCTACTGGGAGTACAGGACGCTGTATTTTCCTTTTTATTATGAGCAGGAATTCCGCCACTTACGAGTGGTTTATTTTATATTGGCACGGTTAGCTCCCGTGTTAGTACCCCTTTATTGGGGCAGGTTAGGGGAAACCCGTTTGATGCGTAATCAAGCTAAATCATGAGACTAGTTATTTGTCTAGTTAAGTGTTGAATGTCTTGTATTCTTGTGAACAGGTGCATCAAGGTAAGTTGTGTGTTGATAGAATGAAAGCATGTTAGTGTGTTTTATTACGCTTATGTACTCTTCATTGCTGATTGTGTGTTTGTATGTTTGTTTGGCCTTGTCTTTTCTTTGGCCCAACGACGATCCATTTCTAATGGAGAGTAGTGGGGACAAGTAGAGAGAAGCTTTTCAAGTGATGAAGCATATTCATGATGGGCATGAGTGAAGAGCGAATCATGCTTAGTTTCCATAGAAATATGATGTGTTTTATTTGCTTTTAATATTATTTATTTTATTATGCTCATGAGACTAACGTAAAGGTTTGTAATATTGTTTGGTTTTAAGGGTCTTCAATGGTTCCAAGTTGTAGGTTGACTTTGTTTGACTTAGTTTGACTTTACTTTCTTTTGGTTTGACTTTTTAAAGTTGACTTGTTTTAAATGGTTTTAAAGATAATATTTTGTTGTGTGAGTCTTTGATATTTGCCTTAGTCGTTTTCACGGTGGCAGTAATATCTTAGATTTTCCTATTTCGTATTTTAAAAAGGACAGAATCGGTATTTAGAAGGAATGAAATTTCTAGGCTCTTACAAAGTGGTATCAGAGTCAGGTTGAGATTTTTATTACCACTAAAGCCAAAAACGTATTTTAAAGTGTTTTGTTTTTAACTTGGCCAAGTGCTTATTTAATTAAGTTATTTTAAAAGAGGGTTATTTTCACTTATTTTAGTTTTTGGAAACCAGAAAAAAAAATTATTTATTGTTTTTTTTTAGACAATCCGAAATTTTCTTTATTTTAAAAATCCGAATTTTTTTTTTAATTGAACATCCTTATTTTTTTTATTATTTAGGGTGTCCGAAATTTTTTTTAAGTGGCCAAATATTTTGATTTTTTTTCAGGCTTATTTTTGAAAATTAATTTTTTTTTTTAAAAAAAAAAGAGTCAAAAATATTTTTAGTTTGTTCATTTTGCAGGAAAGCAAGGATTGAGGTAAGTATATGTGTTAAAAGCTTTTAAAAGCATGTTGGTGAGCTTGGGTAGGAAAGAATTTGGGCATATAAGTTAGAAATAATTATGTACTTGTATGCATTAAAGTTTAGGTTGTGATGTTTGATCATGTGAATTGATTTAAAGCATGTGATTATGTAGTTAGGAATGAGTAAAATTGTTTGATTAAACATTGAACCTAATTCATGCAATAATTGTATTGTTTTTATTGGGGAACGGAATTCTTTTCTAAACCCTTTCCTTTTCAAGATGCCAATTCTTCCTAGCAAACTTTCCCAAATTGGTACACTAATCAAGAAAGACTATGAACATCCTTTTGACTATGTCAACAAAATCCAATTCTATTGTTCCCACATGAGCAATGTCTTAGGAGACAAGCACTATGATCTTCCTTATCGTGTTTCTGCTATGATTATTCACTGTCTTCCAGATGAACCCCCATATCTTGCTGTCAAAGCAAAATTCTCTGATTTCTATTTACCAGGAGACATTCCAAACTACTCTAAATACAAAAATTTCTATGGACAGTGACCTTGACTACAGATACTTGATTTCTTACCTTGTTAAAGTTGAGAAAGATTATTGCCAGCACTTACATATTCCATATCCCAGTTATTACTATGAAAATCCGGTAGGGAATAATTCCCCTTCCACTAGTCATCAGTCGAGAAGTTCTTCTCTTCTTAGGGTGATTGTTTCGGGTTTTTTGGATGTCCTACAGGAGAGTTACAACATCAAGACTGGATTCACGCGCTTGTACCTGCAAAACAACAGAGACTCCCGGGGGTGGGAGTTCCGCCTCCGACGATCAAGTTAAAACGTGTTTGGATGTAAAAAGTGCGGAATGTAAAGGGGGGGTCAGGCTCCTCTTAGGAAAGGAGTGATCATCCGGCTGTCTCAGACACCCTCAATATCCAAGTGTTTCACTCTCTGTTTTTGAGTCGAATGTGTGTATGTTATTTAATGTGTATTGAATTATCCCCAACTGGTGTAAATGATTAATATTTTTAGTCCTTTGGGACAGGTGCCCTTTAAGGTTATTTAACCTAAGTAAATGGGCTACCCACCGTTTTACAGTGTAGTTGCATAAGTTATTTAAACTCATTTTATTTCAGTATTCCATTCATTTTCTTACTCAGCAATAAAATTCCATTTATTTCCTTGTCAATAATTCATTTTACTAATAAATCATTCATTTCGTATCACTACTTCTATAAGCCATTTCATACTAAAAAAATATTCCAATGATTTAATTATGAACTCTGGGAATCCATGGGAATTATTTTTATTTATTAATGTGATGCTTTATTAAATGTGTAGTTGGTTAGCAATCAATATTTGGTTGAAAAAATGCAAATTTTGGGAATTTTAATTTTTGTAAATCCCAATTTGTTAGCTTAAAATTTACTGTGTATGTATCAAGAGTGTGAGTTAGATAGATGGGTGTCTAACTTAAGAGCTAGCCAAGACCGTTTTTAATAAAGAAAGATGGTAGGAGAGAGTGGTAACAACAACGATGGAGGAGAGTTGAGTGAAGTTGTGAGGCAGTTGGCAGTTGTTGCCTAAATAGCAAGGAACTCAACCAATATTGTAGATGCTCATGGAGAGCTATTTAAGAAGGTGGCGCAGAGCAAACCACCGACCTATCAAGGAGAGCCTGATCCAACTATACTAGAAAACTGGTTGAGGGAGTTTGAGAAACTGTTTGGGGCAGTAGGGTGTCCAGAGAACTCGAAAGTAGGTTGTGCTACCTATTACCTTAGGGGTGAAGCTGACCTTTGGTGGCAGCAAAATGAAGCTAAATTAAGGGGATTACCTGGATTTGACTGGACTATGTTTCAAGAGAAGGTTAGGGACAAGTTTTACCCTAGCTTCTTACAGAAACAAAAAGCTGAGGAATTTTCTAATCTTGCAATGGGGAATATGTCGGTCTCGGAATACTACACCAAGTTTATAGAGCTGTCACGATTTGCTAAGGAGTCTGTCGCTACAGAAAAGTCTAAGGTTAGGAAGTTTGAGAGTGGACTGACTACTAATTTACAGTTAAGCTGTGTGGGAAAGTATTTGAAACCTTGAATGAGGTGTATGGGAGAGCTGCACATCTTTATGTGTTGGAGCTGAAGAAAAAGAAAGAGCTAGCTGAGATAGAAGGGAAAGAAAAGAGAAAAGAGGTGGGAAAAAATTCTAGAAACCCGCAAGGTAACCAAAATAACTTTAAGAAGAAAAAGTACCACCATAACAACAACTTCAGCAACAACAATAATTTCCAAGGCAACAATCGTCACGGAGGACGAAACTTTAATGGTGGAGCTAAGAACTCTAATCAGGGAAGTAATAAGGATGGAAGGCACTATTTTTGCAAAAGGTGCAAGAATAACCACCCTGGTAGGGATTGTGATGGAAATTTGGTTACCTGTCATGCTTGCAACAAGTTAGGACACAGGGAGTATGAATGTTTCTCCAAGGATCCCAATCAAAACAAGCAGGGAAATAATCAAGGAGGGGCTCAAAGGAACTTTCAGGGACATAACAACTATTCTGGGAACAAGGGGGCACAGCAGAATGCGGTGAAAACAAACAATAATAATGGAAATAACCAATAGAAAGGTGGAGCTACAAGAAAGTTGAGTGTGATGAGTAGGCATGAGGCTGATTCCACAAAAGATGTCATCACTGGTACTTTTTCTATTAACTTTATTCCTGTTAAAGTCTTGTTTGATTCTGGTGCGACTTTTTCTTTTGTTTCAAAGGCCATTGTATCAAAGTTATCAAACTGTTTGAAAACCGTAGATGAAGTAGATTTGCCTTTAGTTATTCCTACGGGTGGGGTAGTAAAGTGTAACAAGACCTTTAAAGGTGTACCTTTAGAAATCGAAGGAAAAGTGTTTTTGTCGAATCTCATTGAGTTTGAATTGAGTGACTTCGATGTCATTTTGGGAATGGATTGGTTAAGCAAGTATAATGAAAAGATTAGTTGTCGATCGTAGAAAGTAAAAATGACTACAGCTGATAATGAGTTGGTGAAATATTGGATGCATGGTGAAACCAAGTGCCCAAGGATCATATCTGTGTTAAAATTGGCAAAGTATATTAAGAAGGGGCATATAGTGTATTTTTTGTAGTGTGAGGAATATGGAGCTCGAGGAGACAACTAAGCCTGAGGATATAGAAGTAGTGAATGAGTTTCTGGATGTGTTTCCAGAAGAGATTCCTGGAATGCCACCCAAAAGGGAAATTGATTTCACAATAGAGCTAGTTCGAGGAACAGCACCAATTTCCAAGGCACCATATCAAATGGCACCTACAGAGATAAGTGAGTTAAAGGAGCAATTGTAGGATTTGTTAGAAAAGGGATACATAAGACCTAGTGCATCACCTTGGGGAGCGCCAGTGTTATTTGTGAAGAAGAAAGATGGAAGTATGAGGTTATGTATTTGTTTAGGGTGAAAATACCCTAAGACACGTGGCCCAATAAATGCTTGACACGTGTCAATCTTTCAGCAGTCTGCAAAGGCCCATTTCCTTTGCAGACACGTGTCCCTTATACCCTTATTGAGGTACAGTTCTCCCTTACTATAAATAGTAAGGGTAGACCTCATTTATGGGACACAGACATTAATTGCAACCACAAAAAACCAAACAAAGCCTAAACCTACTGAAACGCTCTCGAACCGAGAAGCTTTTACAGTTCTTATTCCACTTCGAAAAGATACTAACTTAATCTTCGGAGGCGGAACTCCCACCCCCCATCCGGAGTCTCCGTTACTTGTGCAGGTACAGGCGCAAGAAGGAAGTCGGCTAGGTGCAGGTACAGGCGTAAGAAGGAAGTCTGCTAGGAAATTGTAACTCTCCCGAAGGACACAGAAAACCCCCAAACAGTATTGACTATAGAGAGTTAAATAAAGTCACCATAAAGAACAAGTACCCTTTACCAAGGATTGATCACCTATTTGACCAGTTGAGAGGTGCAACTATGTTTCCTAAGATTGATTTAAGGTCTGGTTACCATCAACTTAGAATTGCAAATGAAGATATTCCCAAGACTGCATTTAGAACAAGGTATGGACATTATGAGTTCATAGTAATGCCATTTGGATTGACGAATGCTCCAGCAATCTTTATGGACTTGATGAATAGGGTGTTTCATCCATTTATCAGCAAGTTTTTGGTAGTGTTCATAGATGTATACTGGTGTATTAGAAAAGTAAAGAAGAACATGTAGAACATCTGAGGGCAATTCTGCAAACACTAAGGTAAACAAGCTTTACGCAAAGTTCTCTAAGTGTGAGTTTTGGTTGGAGAAAGTAGCATTTTTAGGTCATTTTGTGTCCAAAGATGGGGTAGAAGTAGATCCAGCAAAGATTAAGGCAGTAAAAGGTTAGCCTACGCCAAAAACAGTGTCTGACGTTAGGAGTTCCTTAGGTTTAGTAGGGTATTATAGGCGTTTTGTGAAAGATTTCTCGAAGATTGCTAAACCTATGACCTCTCTAATGAAGAAGGACAAGAAGTTGGAATGGGATGACAAGTGTGAGGAAGCATTCCAACTCTTGAAACAAAAGCTAATCACAGCGCCAGTGCTTACACTACCAGACGATAGTGAAATGTATGATGTATATAGTGACGCATCCAAGAATGGTCTAGGATGTGTACTTATGCAAAATGGGAAGGTGATTGCATATGCATCAAGACAATTAAAGACTCATGAAGTAAGTTACCCTACTCATGACTTAGAACTAGCTGCAATCATTTTTGCGCTAAAGATTTGGAGGCACTACTTGTATAGAGTGAAATGTAGGATTTACACAGACCATAAGAGTTTGAAATACATTTTCACTCAAAGGGATTTAAACTCACGCCAAAGGAGATGGTTAGAGTATACGACGGATTATGTCTTAGACATACAATACCATGCGGGGAAAGCAAATGTAGTCAGAGATGCTCTAAGTCGTAAAACCAGTCATGGACTGAATACTTTGATAGTGGCTGATGAGTTATGTAGAGAAATGAGGAAAATGAATCTAGAAGTAGTAGAATGGGGAGTTCCAGCAAGCATACTTGCGAATCTAAGTATTCAACCAACAATATTTGATGAGATAAGGGAAAACCAAGCAGGAGATGTGAAATTGGATAGGATTCGTGAGAAAATAAAGCAAGGAAAAGCCACGATTTTCAGAATTCATGAAGATGGGAGCTTAAGGTACAAAGGTCGTTGGTGTGTACCACAAAAATGTGAGGAGGTAAAGAGAAAATTGATGGAAGAGGGTCACAATACACCATACTCAGTACACCCAGGAGGGGACAAGCTATATAAAGACTTGAAAAAGACGTATTGGTGGCCCAGAATGAAGAATGAAGTTGCAGAATTTGTGGCAAAGTGTCTAACCTGTCAAAAAGTGAAGATATAACACAAAAGACCACAAGGAACTGTGCAATCATTGGAAATTCCTTGATAGAAATGGGATTGTATTTCAATGGACTTTGTGACTTGCCTCCCAATGTCAAAGAGTGGAAATGACACAATTTGGGTAGTGGTGGATAGACTTACAAAATATGCAGTGTTTATACTAATGAAGGGTGTTTCGGGGTTTTCTGATGTCCTGCGGGAGAGCTACAATTCCGAGACTGGAACCGGACGCCTGTACCTGCAAAATAACGGAGACTCCTGAGAGCTCCGCCTCCAACGGTCAAGTTAGTACCTGATTAAGGAGTAATTAATACAGAAATTAAAGTAATAAGGTCTCTCTAGGTGAGAGTATTTAATGTAGGTAATCTGCTTTGCTAGCGAGATCAGCCGGTTATTAGTGTGTTCCGTAAATTATTCGGTCCCTCGATTAATGAGGATTAATCGAGTATTTATAGCCTTGGGAAGCGTGCAACTCTCTAGGTTTAAGGTAAACCTAGGGCCGATCGGGCTTCTAGACTGAAATGGGCCTTGATGGCCGGTTGTCCCATTTGGCATGGGTGGACACGTGGCGTGTCTTAAGTGGTCCGTGGAGGACGCGTGGCGGAACCTGGTTGGTCCACTTGTCAAACGGCGCTTGGTGGGTAAAAATCCGCTAATCATTTGCCCCTCACAGGTGGCACGCGACTGGTCACGTGTCGCCTGTGACAGGCGTCGCACGGTGACAGGCGACGGCCCGTTACAGGTGTCACCTTGCAGACGGCCGGGAGACTCTCCCGCCCAAATTTGAATTCGGAAGCGACCCTTCGCCTTCTCATTTTGCCTATAAAAGGAAGTGCTGACTTCGGTCATTTTCACATTTGAGAATTTTTGCGAGAACATTCGGACCCCTGAACTTGCTCTGACATTTTCGGACTTTTTCTGCCTACCGCCTGTTCTGACAAGCCGACTGACCCGAACTTTCAGGACTTCATCAACTGTCATCCGTTCAGGTAACTCAGTTCTCTTACTCTTAATTTTCTTTTTATTTTTTGAAATGGCACCATGGAAGCACACGACACGCCCTAAGTTAGTGATCAGCCGGTCACCGGGGACGGCTGAATCTAGGACTAGGAGTGCCGCCTGCCCTTTTCTGGACCCATCTTTGCCCTTTATACAAAGTCCGACTGAATCTGTGTCTATGCAGAACGTGATGGCCAGAACAAAAAAGACTGCTAGAATATCAAACTCAGACGGCTCCTCCCAAAGGGTACTCCTTAGCGAAACATCTGACCAGGCGCCAGATGTGGAACGAGGCGACTGTCAAGCTGACAGTTCTGAGAGAGGGACCAAGGTGTTCCCTTCTCATCTAACCGTGGACATGTCTAATTTACCTTCTGCTCCTTCTAAGGGAGAGGAGGCGGGCCCCTCTAGGAGAGGGGAGGAGTCGTCCTCTTCGGACTCGTCAGGGGACGAGTCCGATTCCAGCTCTTCTGACCATAGTTCTTCTGACCATAGTTCTTCTGACTCAGAAGAAAAACATAACCGCCTACAAGAGGCGAGAAGTTCCCATGCAGTGGAGAAGGGGGATAATTGGGCAGAGCCGTCCGCCTCTTACAGAGAGGAAAACACCCCCTACTACTGCAGGGTGCCCCGGGGCCGGATCGCAACCATGCGAGACAACGTGGCGAGCTTTATTGCTAACCACAAAATGAGCCCGGAGTATTTACTGTTTGTGCCGGATCCAGAAGATACTGTCGTCTGGCCGGCTGGTACCAGCTATGGTGACGGCTGTTTTGGCTGCTATGTGGCGGCCATCAAAGCTGGTCTGCGCTTCCCATTACATCCGGCTGTTCAGCGGATTTTAGATGGGTATGATCTGGGGTTATGGCAGTTAGCCCCCAACTCTTGGGTAAACGTACTCGGCTATGTGGCCGGGTGCGAACTGAACGGGGTGGAGCCAAGTTTTGAGGCTTTCGCCCAGATGAACTATCTCAGCCGGACCCCTAAGTCGGGAGGTACCGGCTGGTATCAACTAACAAGCCACAGGGGTTACCTCATGACGAGAGGTAAGGCAAACAAATGGAAGGATTGGCGGAACACCTTCCTTATTATCGAGAGTTCAGACACGGAGCTGAACAAACGTTTTAACAAGTGGAACAGGGATCCGCCTCTTCTTGCAGGCGGCCGCAGCATGCCGCCTGTTCCCCCAAAGGCTAAAAG